TATCTTCAAATTTATATCTTATTCAAAAATAAAATCATTATTGCTTTCTTAAAAACACATAAAATCGTATTATAACATCGACAAAGACAAAAAATAAAATAGAACATTAAAATCGAGACGTGTCTCGCTGCATCGCGCGAGTACTCTTCTAGTATCTATAAATGAACATTAATATGAATACGAATATCGCAAGAGGATGCCAAAAAATGTACATTCAATTTGTTTGACATACAGATACAGTTACAGTTACACCCTTACAGACAAGGATGTGTAAAACCTTGAAAACCGTAAAACTTAACCTAACCTAACCTAACCTGGAAAAAAAAATCCAATCCAAGGTAATTCTATATCTGATTGATATAAAAAATATCAATCTGCGTCTATTAGGTTGGAGTTGAGTTAGTCTCAAGGAACTCCAACTTTATCTGATGTCTCATATCTGCCTTTTCACCGATTAGGGCCTTTCCGCTTTAGGTATCAAGAGCCCAACTTGGTATAAAAAAAAAGAGCAAGACAATGATGAACAAGTTTACACAAGTAATACTTATTGAATCCGTAGTTGTAACTTCTTGTTTCATTTTCGGGGGAGGTTACCAGATGTTATTTCCTTGTAAAAAATAATTTAAAGTTTCGACCTGATCAACCGACCCAACCCATCTCGTATGGGTTAGGTTGGGTTGGTTATACTTTTAGAAAAGTTCGAACGAGTTAACAGATTTCAAATCATAGTAATTGAGTTGGGTTGTTCTAATGTTTTCAAACCGACCAACCTAACTCATATACCATACCTACAAATCAAGGTATGTCTGTTCAACGTGTGGATTACATCAGTAATTTTTTTCATTTTGTAAGTATAGCAACAAAGCTAATACATGTGTGGCGTGTATTTTTTTCACTAAAAACAATCTACTGGTGTGTTATAAACTTGTAAGTAATATCATCTTCAGTTATATGATTATGGCATGATAACATGATTTTTTGGATCAGATGAATGTGAAATGAACCAACAACTTATCTATAATCTCGAGAACATCAAAATGACAACATTTCAAACCTATTGAACGTTAAAAGATCCAAATCACATAAACACGCGTCAAATGAACTAAAATTCCAAGTAAAATTGGGTTCAAACAAAATCAAATAGCAAGAAATAAAACTGTAACTCGAAATACACGAAACAACCAGTTACTTCCTTATGTAAGGCTGGAGAAATCGGAGGAGCGTAATGAAAGAACAATGCATCTGTGTTGAACAAAACTTAATTAATTTTTTAACTTAATGGGAAATTAAATGGCTGAGTATAAAGGAGTTACGGTTTTTAGCTTAGCGATTAAGTCATCAGTTGATCGAATAAGTCACAAACGAACGACTATTTATAACTAAGTTAATAAGCCATATGATATAGACTATAGAACCATTAAGCCACAACCGAACAAACCCTTTAGACTACAATGGAAAAAATGGAATCAAAATAAATAATTTGTATTAATTTTATAAACAAGCAAATGTCGTCTTATTCACATGGCAGATTCCTTCTTTTTCTGAAACTTTTTATGGTGCTTTTCAAGCTACAATGGTAAAGTATTCCTTTCCCCCACAAAAGACAAAAACAAAAACCAATACCAAAAGAAAACAAGATTTATATTTGGAAAAAGACTTAGTTATCTGCATAAAGTTTTTTTAAAAGCTTATTGAATAAGCCACTTTTTATATCATTATATCAATACCAAACAATCATGTATAACTGACTACATAAGTTGTGAGTCATATGAAGCTCATTAAGCTGCTAACAAACAAAACCTTAGATGTTAACGATTCTTAAATGTCTGTAGTCAAGATACAAGTTGTAAAATTCATAAAGTTGTAGATTGTTATCCACCTCTTGTGTTTTTAAGGCTTCAAATTTTTTGTTCATGTTTTAAGAAAATAAGAGGATAACAAAAAACTAATAAGACATAGAGTTTTTTATTTATTTATTATTAACCTGGATATCCAACCCGTTATGCGAGCCGAATAATCCTAGGGCGACCACCTGCTTTGTAGATAGTCCGGAGTCATCGCATTTGAACCTCCGTG